TAGGCTGGGCTCTTGTACATTTCAAAGGAGAAAGAAAATAGGATTGGAGGGAAAGTTATTGGGGGGGCAGAGGGGGAGTCACCTGTCCCTTTAAGGATGTTCATTTTGAACTCTGTTGTGTGCCACAGAACACAATTTAAGAAACACTGGTTTACAAAACACCAAAAAACTATACATGCTGTCAGCTGCCTGACCTGTAAACTCCCGGCTGACCCCAAATTCCGGGGAAATGCGATGCAGAACTCAGGAGCTAACCCTGGGCTCCACAGAAGCGGCATTTTAAAGGGGCAGCGTTGCACAGCCGAGCCACGGATCAGCTGTGTGGGGGCTGTCCCTTTGAAATGCCGCACTGGGGTTTCAAAGTGGCAGTGCTGCACAGCTGATCCCTGGGTCAGCTGTGCCACTTTGAAGTACCCCTTCCTCCTCTTTGATATCTCTATCTCATAGAGCAGCCATGGCCAATTCGAGGCTCTACTCCCCCCATTTTCCCCCCGCCCAGGTGCAGCTCGCGAAGCCCACCCCCCGTGACTTGTAAGCCACCCTCGCACCCCCAAAAACAGCCCTTTCCTCCTGTGCTGACCTGGAGGGGGGAGCCATGGGGCCCAGCCATGAAAGATGCAGAATTAAAGGTGGCGGCAGGAGCCTGCTGTGGCCAAAAACCCTCAAAATGCATTTTCTTAAAGGGGCAGAGTCTCCCCCGTCCCTCCCGACAACTTTGCCCCAGCTTTTCGCGCTGGATCCACTATCTTGGCTCTTTGCCTAGAATGGGTTGGCCACCCCTGTCAGGGGGGAGCCATGGGGCCCAGCCATGAAAGATGCAGAATTAAAGGTGGCGGCAGGAGCCTGCTGTGGCCAAAAACCCTCAAAATGCATTTTCTTAAAGGGGCAGAGTCTCCCCCGTCCCTCCCGACAACTTTGCCCCAGCTTTTCGCGCTGGATCCACTATCTTGGCTCTTTGCCTAGAATGGGTTGGCCACCCCTGTCATAGAGGCAGCAAGGCCGGGGGAGGGGGGAAATCGACTAGTCAAGAGACTATCCGATAAGCAAATGCTTATCGGATAGTCGACTAGCCTTTAACATCCCTTCTACCTACACCGCTCCGAAGCCGTGCCGCTCAGCATGGCCGGGGAAGATGCTCTTTGCCGACAGGGGAGCTCTCCCAGCGACACAAGAAAACCACCTCCACAAGGGGCAGTAGCTATGGCAACAGGAAAAGTTCCCCTGCTGCTATGGAGCTGTCCCTGGAGAATCAGGGTGACCGCTCTGGACCCTGCACTTTGGGTGTGAATGGTCCCCCTGCATGCCCAGAGGTCCCAGCTGACACACTGCATGCTCAGGGCTCTGAGGCCATCCTGTGCCAGGGGATCTGCTGCAGAGCAGGGCGCCCCAGCTGACAGGGGAAGATTTATCCTGGGGCTCCCCCCAGACAATTGTGCTTTCTCTTGCTCTCACAGTCAGCTGATCAAGCTGCTTCTCCTACAGTCTGACAAGGAAGGCAGAGAGACTTATCTCCTAGGCTGGGAGATACAGTGATTGGGAGAGAGGGAGTGTTATCCAAAACAGGGGTCTCAACCAGGGGGATGTCTATCTTGGGGGTACACAAAGGTCTTCCAGGAGGTACAGCAACTCATCTAGATATCTGTCTAGTTTTACAACAGGCTACATAAAAAGCAAAAACAGTACCAACTAAAATTGTACACAGACCACAACTTCTTTAACCTGTGCTATATACTGTACATTGAAATGCGAGTACAGTATTTATATTCCAATTATTTTGTAACGACATGGTGAAATGAGAAGATAAGCAACGTTTCAGTGCAGCGTGCTGTGACCCTGTCGTATGTGTGTGTCTGATTTTTGTAAGCAAGTGGTTTTTCGGAGATGTGTAACTCAGGGTACGCACAACGAATCAAGCTCCTGAAAGGGACACAGTAGCCTGAAAAGGCTGAGCACCACTGATCTAGAACATCCCCGCCCAGTGCTTTTCTTGCCTGTTCACTAGCCCAAGCTACACCTGACATGCTGACCACATGGCTAATATGCACTTGGCTTCTTGTCACTTTCAATTTCTGAAATCATGAATTCACTGCACTAAATACAAAGGAAAGACAGTTATCCATTTTTGTTGCTTAAGTCATTATACTTTCATGGTAATCTTGTCTGTCTTTGCTCCACAAGACAGATTTATTAAAGAAAGGAACACGCTGAAGCTAGTTCCCAAATACGTTGTGTCAGAATCAATCCACAACCTTATTTGCATAGTTCCAATTTCACAACCGACTGTTCTATAGTCATCCAGAGTCCGTACAGAGCTTTCATTTCCTCTGAGGGCAAAAAACAAATGATTTCCTGTATTCTATTACCTCTAGAGACTGACTAATTCTAATTTGGTCTCTATACATATATTTTAAATGAGACTGCCTTCCAATTCATCTCTGTTTTGCTGCTAAGTAGCATGGGCTATTAGGTCTCTTTTCTTTTACCCTGATATTTTAGATACAAACATGCCCTTAAAAGTTTTATTGGCAATCTGGGAAAATGAACAGGCAAGAAAAGAAATGTTAGAAATAATTGCAATGCATCAAACAACGGAAGAATGATTTTTACTCTTAGAAAATATCTTATCTGCCTGTTTATGTGCTGCAAATCCGACACCTAATAATCACATGCCACTAACTTCCTCCCAGTAGCATGAGAAATTTCATTATTAAAACAATGTGAGGCCCAAAGCTCAGGGCATTTGAAACTTACCCAAGCCTAGGTAAAAGCTCCCTCCGTGGTATCGCTTGTCTGAGCTGGGACGGTATAAAAAAAGAGAGAACGCTAGTGTAGCCTGATGTTCCCCAGAATGGGACTGTCACATGCTAATCACTCATGTTGAACGTAGGCATAACTAATGCCTTCTAATTATGTACGCTTTGGGTCACCTCCCGGGGGGCACTCGGGACTGTGTGCTTGGCAGAAGACAAGGCTGGATTTTTCTGACACTAGAATTGTACGGTTTTGCTGAAGGATGCTGTAGCACTGGAGAGTATGGAGGCAGGGCCTGAAGCAGCAGCCTGGTTTCTGCCTGGGGCTGCCCAACTCCACGAGACTTGAGGGGTGCTCCCTGCCCTCCATCCCAGCTTGGCTGGACACTGGGGAAGATGGGCAGGAAATGGCTGCTCCCTTTGCTACCTCACAGCATCACTGACTCTGTACCACACCCAAGCTTCTGTGTTTCCTGGGGATGCAGAGATCAGGAGAGGCCACTTGCACGTTCTCCTCCCCATCTGTGCATGCAAAGGCAGGTGTGGCTCACCGGACCCCGAACTCCTGCACTGCAGTTGAACCCCCCCTTCACCTGAGTCGGAGTCGGCTGGCCTGGGTCAGCTGTGGGGTCTTATTTGCAGTGTAGATGTGACGACTGAAAGCAGCGCCAACAAGGCGAGAGACAGCGCAGGGAGCAGCAACTATTTGGTTTCCCCTTATACAGTGATACAGAAAAAAGGGCCGGGGGACTGGTTTAGCAGCGTGCACCTCTGTCCCACTACCGCTCTGCAGCACTCACTCGAGAGACCCCACAGAAATTAAGGACGCACTGGAATGGGAGGGACGAAAACTAACT